AAAAAAAAAAACACATCATAGTAAAATTAATACCTTCTCCGCTTCGCATCGAAGCTAAAAAATGAGTAAACTATATATTAGGAATATTCATATTTGAATGATGAATGCACATTGCTTTTATATACATAGGGATGAAAAAGTATATGTAATACATATAAGTATAGCGGACTGAAATCGGAAAAAGAAAGGATGAGAAGGAAAGAAAGATGGAGAACAAGAAATATATTATACACTATTCAATTTTATATAAATATAAAAATAGGAATAAATTTATATAGAATAACACCATAGCTTTTTCGTTATAAAATTTCGTTATTCGAATTGTCTCGCATTTTACTATATTTACTAGATCAAAAATGATTTGTCACACCTTTGTAGACCATACCATATTTATTTAAAATTTATTATCTACTTTATTATTAAATTAAAAACTATGATAAAGTAAATAAATTATAACGGTAATTCTTTTAATATATACACCAATATAACTCAAAAATTGTCATTTGTTTTCAAAATATAGCACTTAGAGTAAAAATGAAGGTGAGTAACACACTTTACATCAAAAAGTTCGATTGAAATCTTAAACAAATATTTTATTTTATTCTAGAATTGGCAATTGATACACTTTTTGTTAGTAATAACTTGTTTGATTCTTAATGAAGGTAAACTCTATTATACATTATTTATGCCTATTAAGTTTACCACGTCATTTTTAGCTACGATGCGATACTGAGAAGGTATTGGTTATACTATGATGTGTTTTTTTTTTTTGTGTCTGTTACCACTTTTTCTTAGCTCTCACCGAACATCGTATCTAGTCAAAGACATTACTCTCAAAAATTGAAAAAAATTCCCTCGTTCTCCGTAAATGGGTGAAACCTCCAAAAAAATTACAAATTTAAAAATTGCTAATTTTCGACATTTTTTAAATTCGATATACTGTTTTTTTAAATCGGACCATTTTCCTTAATACAGGGGGGGTTTAAAACATAAAAATGCATATAGAAAGTAGAACTTTTTCAACTTAACTTTTGAAATTTTCCGGAAAGTCTGATACTTTTATATATATCTTAAATTAAAGCTAATGTAATATACTTTATTATGGTAAAAAAAAATTTTGGACTTTATTTTATCTTCATGGTGAAAATAGTCACTGTATTCAAAAATATGCTAAGATTGTGTTTTAATTCTGGGTTTTGTATTTTATTTTATTTTTATATACCTTACAAGGGGTGTATACAGATTTTCAAAATGATTATATAAATGCTATTATAATGTGAAAATTCTCTATTTTATTTTTTACATTTTAGCTTCGATGCGAAGTGGAGAAGGTATTAATTTTACTATGATGTGTTTTTTTTTTTTTTAATGTCTGTTGCCACTTTTTCTCAGCTCTCACTGGACCGATTTCTTTCAAAAATACGTCAAAAGATCACAAATCGTATCTAGTTGAAGACATTACCCTTAAAAATTGAAAAAAATTCCCTCGTTCCCCGCAAATGGGGGAAATATCCAAAAAAATTACAAATTTAAAAATCGCTAATTTTCGAAATTTTTTCACTTTTTTTTCTTAAAACTTCCATAACTTTTTGAAAAATCAACAAATCAACATAATTTTTTTTTATACTAAAACCTTAGATATTTACCTTTCATTTGATATCATTTTTTTGAAAATCTATCACTTAACCTGCTCATTGGGGGGGATTTAAAATGGCAACTTTTTTACAAAAATTAATTTTTTCAACTTAATTTTTGAAAATGTTCCGGAAAGACTGCGTCCTTTAAACATATATCAAATTAAAGCTTATTTTATGTACTACAAAATGAAAAAAAAAAATTTGTCCCGACACTTTTTTTTCTACATTTAAACGGCTGCCGTAGTTAAAAAAACACTATTTTTGTGTTAAAATTTTCGATTTTCGATTTTAAATTTTCAACTTAAAAATGCTATAACTTTTTGAAAAATGTATATATCAGCACAAATTTTTTTTTTCTAAATACATTATAAGTACATCTTTCATTTGACATACTTTTTATTAAAATTGGACAATTTCCCCTTATATAGGGGGCGTTCAAAACTTAAAATATTGTAAAAAACATAGATCTTTTTCAACTGAACTTTTGAAAATGTTCCGGAAATACTGCGTCCTTTAAACATATATCAAATCAAAGGTTATGTTATATACTATCAAATGAAAAAAAAAAATTTGTCCCGACATCTTATCTTCTATGTGCAAATGGCTGTCGAAAATTTAAAAAAAAATGTAATGTTTGCGATAAAAATTACATTTTATCGGGATGTTTTTTGTACTTAAAACTGCCATAACTTTTTCAAAAATGAACAAATAAAAATAATATTTTTTTGTATTGAAACCTTAGATATTTCCCTTTCATTTGATATAATTTTTTTTGAAAATCTAACACTTATTCTGCTCACTGGGAGGATTTAAAATAGTAACTTTTTTACAAAAAATAACTTTTTCAACTTAATTTTTGAAAATGTTCCGGAAATACTGCGTCCTTTAAACATATATAAAATTAAAGCTTATTTTATGTACTACAAAATGAAAAAAAAAAATTTGTCCCGACGATCTATCTTCTATACGCAAATGGCTACCATATTGAAAAATATACTATTTTTGTATGATAATTATGGGTTTTGTATTTTATTTTAATAGAAGTTGATGTTGCTTTTGCAATTATCCATCAATTTTTTAAAATTAAACACTATCTACAGATTTGCATCGAAGCGTTTCTTATGATAGTGATTTTAATCACTGTCAGATTAAATCTATACTGGACCCTACTATGCAATGTCTCTACTATGCCGCGACCCCACTGTGCTACCGTTTTTTTAACATTATAATGCTATAACTTAATGAAATGTGTATGGATCAATATAATTTTTTTATGAGAAATAATATTTTTTAATAATCCCTTATTCATTCGACATACTTTATCTTAATCAGGATATTAATAAGGAACTAGCAGATCATGTAGCTTTTAGAATAATACACCAATTTTTTAAAATTAAACACTATCTAAAGATTTGCATCGAAGCGTTTATTTTTGATAGTGATTTTAATCACTGTCAGATATCATTATACTTGATCCAACTATGCCACGTCACCACTGTGCCGCGACCCACCTGTGCTGGGTTTTTTTAATTACACTGTGATCAGGAGAAACAATATACTTATCAAATAAAAAAAATTTTCCATACTTTTAGTTCTATTTTTAAATATATCTAATTCATAATTAATCTTATTTTTTAAAACTAATGTTAAATTTTTTAAATGACTTATTCTTAATTTTCATTCTTTATATAACTAATGTATAAAATAAAAATGACTAAATTGATTTATGTCCCTTTTTCTTAAATGAAATTTTTTTATATTAACTCTTAATATTACAATACTTTGATATTCTATCAGAAGTATTCCTATTTAAATAATACGGTAGCACAATGTGGACGTGGCATAGTTGGGAAAAGTATAGATGATATCCGACAGAGATTATAATCACTATCATACGAAACGCTTCGATGAAAATCTGTAGATAATATTTAATTTTAGAAAATTACACTGTGATCAGAAAAAACAATATACTTAGCAAATAAAATATTTTTTTCTTATTTTCAGTGCTATTTTTAAATTTATCTAATATTTAATTAATCTTATTTTTGAAGACTAATGTTAAATTTTAAAATTACTTATATTATATTGACTATTAATAAGTATGTTACAATATTTTGAAAACTTCTATCAGAAGTACTCTAAATTAAAAAAAACGGTACCACACTGTGTTTAATAAATACTCGTTTTTATAAATTAGTAATTACGTCAAAAAAAGGTGATGGAAAAAGTCTAATTGCAGTTCCTTAATCTAAATGAGATAAAAATAAAACGAATTTTGAATTTTTTCCACCTCAAAAAGAATTAAGAAAAAAATACAAAAGAAACCATTCAACGGACGAATTCGAACGTCGTACCTCGAGCGTGAAAAACTGAAATGTGACTCGACGTTTCTTCTAACTTAGGAGGCAAAATATTCAAAATAAGTTTAAAATTATATTTAATTTAAGATAGATTCATGTAACTTTAATTAAAATCGATACACACATTACTATAAAAATCCCTTATAAGGCATTTTAGCAAAAACCAGCACAGTGGGAACGTGGTATAGTTGGGTCAAGTATAATGATATGTGACAGTGATTAAAATCACTATTAGAAAAAGTGCTTCGATGCAAATCTGTAGATAGTGTTTAATTTTAAGAAGTTGGGGGAATTATTAAATAAGCATCATGATCTCCTATTTCCATATTTATATATGAATAAATATTTATTATAGCAATTAAATATAGTATGAAATTGATATTTAATAATTTAATATTGTAATTGTTTACAAAAATAGTATTTTTTTATTCACTTTAATGTCCGTTTTCACCATGAAAATAAAATAAAGTCTGAATTTTTTTTTTTTCATATGAAAGTATATTGCATAAGGTTTAATTTAAGATATATATAGAAGCGTCAGTATTAAATAACTCTTATTTCCTTAATTTTATACTGATTAGTAGTTCTTAAATTTTAAAGTATAATTAATGAATAAATATTTATTACAGCAATTAAATAGAGAATGCAATTGATATTTAATAATTTAGTATTTTAATTTTTACGAATAAATTATAAAAAATTATTAAGTTGATATTACTTTTATGGCAAACATGTATAAAAAGTAAAGGGCTTGATGTAATACTTATCAAAGAAAAATTATTTGTTACTTATAAACAAATTAATTGGTCTACAAAGAATTTGCATCATAGACTAAAATATACTTTTTTAAACCATTTAAGTTTGAAATTTTGAATGGGTTATTTTTCTTATATTAAAAATCAATAATAACGTGATAAAAATTTTTTTTATTAATTTTTTATGTGTTTCTAATTAGTAATAATTTCAAAAAAAGGTGATAGAAAAAATCAAATTTCAGACTTGAAATCAGCATAATAATTTGGATTAGTAAAGTATATATTGGTTTATACTTATTAAAACTATTTTAATTTACTTATTTGACTTTACTGTGTAATTGAGTATATAAACGAATTTTATATTACTATTAATTTTGTTATATTTAATTAAAAAAAGGTTTTTTTTTAAGTGGCCATATTTTATAACTTATTTAGCTTTTCTTAACATTGAGGTGGAAAAATAATCAAAATAAGTATGAATGTATATTTAATGTAATATTCATGTACATTTTATAAAAAAATAGTGGACTCTTACTATGGTAAACCATTATATAGTATTTTAGAATAAACAAAAAAAAAAATTGCATATAGTAGATAAATCGTCGGGACAAAATTTTTTTTTAATTTATAGTATATAACATAAGATGTAATTTAACATATGATAACTATTTTTTTTTGAGATATTTAATTGAAATAGTTTTTTTGAAGTCGCTATTTTTTACTATAGCGTAATTTTGCGTTATTTGTTTGAATTTCTAAAATTAAAAGATTTTTTCTAATATTTGGTGATTATAATTTCAACTAGATTTAAATCGTGTTCTTTTAACTTATTTGCCATAAAAATTGGTCAAATGAGAGCTGAGAATAATTAACGACAAATACAAAAATAAACTATATAATAATATATAATATATTCTTATATTGATTAAGAAAGTCCTTCTCACAAAGGGAGATTAAAGTGATAGGATCCTCGATATTTATTGAATATTTTGATTGAATGTTATTTATTACTATTCATTTTGAATTTTTTTTCACCCCAAAAAAGAATTTAAAATAAATGCAGTAAAAGTTATTACGACTGCCGCAGTTCGTTCCCCGAGCGTATAAGTCTGTAATATTAGGAAGCATCCATCATACACTTCGTGTTAGCGTAGATAAAAAGGACTATTTAAACTAAATCAAATATTTAATATAACTTTTTTTAACTTCGAGGAGAAAAATATTAAAAATAAGTATAAATTTACATTTAATGTAATATTCATATAAATTTTATAAAAATTGGTGGACTCATTACTATGATAAACCCTAATAATTATTTTAAAATAAAAAAAAATTTGCATTTAGAAGATAAGTCGTCGGAAAAATCTTTTTTTTTTAATTTATAGTATTTAACATAAGGTGTAATTTAACATATGTTTAAAGGAAGTAGTATTTCCGGAGCACTTTCAAAATATAAGTTGAAAAAATTGACTTTTGTGAAAAAGTTGATATTTTGAATCCCCCTTTGTGGGGATGTAAAGGTTCAAATTAAAAAAAATTTTATATCAAATGAAAGGAAAATACCTAAAATTTCAGTATTAAACAAAAAATTCTTTTTGATTTATTAACATTTCAAAAATTATGACAGTTGTAAGTACAAAAAACATCACAATAGAAGGTGATTTTTTTCGCAAGTATTTCATTTTATATTTAATTATTAGTACGGAATATAAGCTTAAATTTAACATATGTTTAAAAGACGCAGTTTCTATTGAACATTTTCAAATGTTAAGTTGAAAAAGTTCTACTTTTTAAAGGTATGTTTCAAGTTTTAAAAGACTCCCCTTTAAGGGGAAATTTTTCAATTAAAAAAAAAATATTTCGAATAAAAAAAGTATATATAATATATAAAGAAAAAAAAATTGTTTTGATACATACATTTTTCGAAAAATTATAGCAATTTAAAGTTGTAAAAAATGAAATCTAAATTTTTAAAATAAAAATAGTATATTTTTAACTACGCAAGTTATTTGTGCGTAGAAGTAAGTCGGCGCACAATTTATTTTTCAATATATAGTACGCCACATAAGCTATAATTTAACATATATTTAAAAGACGCAGTATATTCGGAACATTTTCAAATGTTAAGTTGAATTCCCCCATATGAGTAGGTAAAAGGTCTGAAATTATTTATAGAAATACCCAAAAATCTACACCATTGTTCGACAAAAAGTACTTGAGTTAAACACTGTATACTCATATCATAATTTATATTTTTTATATATGTGGAAAAATAATTATTAAAATTATACTTTCATTCTCTGGTTGTATTTTTGTAATCTATATAAATTTTCTATTTATAAAATATTAATAAATTAATGTTCGTTTAGGAATTGAAAATAAATATTTGGAAGACGAAAAAATTTGCCCCTTTGAAAAAGGTACGATAAGAAAAGCTGCTGCGAATGGTGATATAGAAAAATTAAAACTAGCTCACGAAAGTGGATGTGAATGGGATAAATATACGACTTCTGAAGCTGCTGCAAATGGACATTTAGAATGTTTAAAATATGCACATGAAAATGAGTGTAAATGGGATAAAAAAACTACAAGTGATGCTGCTGCAAATGGACATTTAGAATGTTTACAATATGCTCTTAAAAATGGATGTAATTGTAATAAAATAACTGCAATGAATGCAGCTGCAAATGGGCATTTAGAATGCTTAAAATATGCTCATAAACATGGATGTAGATGGAATAAAAAAACAACAAGAGATGCTGCAGCAAATGGGCATTTAGAATGCTTAAAATATGCTCATGAAAATGCTTGTCCGTGGAATACAGACACAACAGAAGCAGCTGCAAATTATGGTAATTTAGAAAACTTAAAATATGTTCATGAAAATGGATGTAAATGGGATAAAAAAACAACAAGAGCTGCTGCTGCAAATGGGCATTTAGAATGCTTAAAATATGCTCATGAAAATGGCTGTCATTGGGATGAAATGACAACATATGAAGCTGCACGAAAAGGTAGTTTGGAATGTTTAAAATACGCTCATGAAAATGGATGCCAATGGAATAAAAGGACAACTGAAGCTGCTGCTTTAAAAGGTCATTTAGATTGCTTAATATATGCTCATGAAAATGAATGTGATTGGGATGAAACAATAACAGCAGCAGCTGCTTTTAATGGTGATTTAGAAATTTTGAAATATGCTCATAAACATGGATGCAAATGGGATGAAAGCACAGCAGAAGCAGCAGCAAGGTATGGTAATTCAGAAAACTTAAAGTATATTCATGAAAATGGATGTAAATGAGATAAAAAAACAACAAGAGCTGCTGCTGCAAATGGTCATTTAGAATGCTTAAAATATGCTCATGAAAATGGTTGTCAATGGGATGAAATGACAACATATGAAGCTGCACGAAAAGGTAGATTGGAATGTTTAAAATATGCTCATAAAAATGGCTGTCAATGGGATAAAATGACAACATTTGGAGCTATCTATTCGAGCAGTTTGGAATGTTTAAAATACGCACACGAAAATGGATGCAAATTTTATGAGAACATAACTTTATTTGCTGCAAAATATGGTTTTTTAGAATGTTTAAAATATCTCTATGAAAATGGATGCAAATGGGTAGAAGGCACAACTAGAATTGCTGCTTTGAACGGACATTTAGATTGTTTAAAATATGCCCATGAAAATGGATGTAAATGGGATACAGGTACAACTAATGCAGCTATCTCAGGACGTAATTTAGAAATTTTAAAATATATACATGGTAATGGATGCGAATTAGATGAAATAATAACAATAATAGCTGCTGTTGATGGCGATTTAGAAATTTTGAAATATGTACATAAAAATGGCAGTAAATGGACAGAAGGATTAATTGAAAATGCTGCTTTAAATGATAATTCAGAATTTTTAATATATGCTCACAAAAATGGATGCCATTGGGATGATGATGCAACTAAATATGCCGCAGAAAGTGGCTGTTTAGACTGCTTAATTTATGCTCATGAAAACGATATAAAATGGGAATATGGTACAATAGTTACAGCTGCCAAGCATGGTAATTTGGATTGCTTAATATATGCTCACGAAAATGGATATGAATGGGAATATGGTACAACTAGTGCTGCTGCTTCAAAAGGTTATTTAGATTGTTTAAAATATGCCCATAGAAATGGATGTGATTGGGATAAAGATACAACTAAAAGTGCTGCAACAAGTGGCTGTTTAGAATGTTTAAAATATGCTCATGAAAATGAATGTGAATGGGATATAACAGTAACAGAAGTAGCTGCTTATACTGGTAATTTAGGAATTTTAAAATATGCTCATGAAAATGGATGCAAATGGGCAGAAGGTACAATTAGAGCTGCTGTTTTAAATGACAATTTAGATTGTTTAAAATATGCCCACGAGAATGGATGCCCATGGGATGATGGTGTAACTAAAGCTGCTGCCCTAAATGGTAATTTAGAAATTTTAAAATATGCTCATGAAAATGGATACAAATGGGATATAGACACAACTCATGCGGCTGCCACAAGAGGTAATTTAGAAATTTTGAAATTTGTTTATGAAAATGGATGCAAATGGACAGAAGGTACAATTAGAATTATTGCTTTAAAAGGTAATATAGATTGTTTAAAATATGTTCATACAAATGGGTGTGATTGGGATGATGGCACAACAAAAGCTCTTGCAGCATGTGGTTGTTTCGATTGTTTAAAGTTCGCCCACGAAAATGGATGTCCTTTGGATAAAGATATAATAGTTACAGCAGCTGTACATGGTAATTTAGATTGCTTAAAATATGCTCATGAAAATGATTGTGATTGGGTTGAAGGTACGATGAGAGGGGCTTCTTCAAATGGACATTTAGATTGCTTAAAATATGCTCATGAAAATGGTTGTGAATGGGACGAAGGTACAATAAGGGAAGCTGCCGCAAGTGGTTGCATTAAGTGTTTGATTTTTGCACATGAAAATGGATGTCCATGGGATGAAGGAACAAAGAGTGCAGCTGAACAAAATGGTAATTTTGAATGCCTAAAATATGTTCATGAAAATGGATTTGAGTGTGATAAAGGCACAACATGATTAACTGCTTCAAATTATCATATTAGTTGCCTAACAAAAGCCCATGAAAATAATTATCTATGGAGTATAAATACTATTTATGAACCTACTCGAAATGGTTTGACAGATATAATCATTTATGCTATTTAAAATGGTTGTAGTAATTAGTTATCTGTTGAAATTATTTTATTTTATTAAGTTAGATATTTAAATTAAATATAATAATTTATTTTTTGTGTTTTTTGACAATTTAATTCCTTAATAAATTTTTTTTGAAATATTACTAAAATCGAATAAGCTATACTAACTTTTTTTAACTTTAATGATTTGTTGAAAAGTTTAGGTTTTATAATGATATGTTTTTTTAAGTCTATTCATGAAAATTCACAGTTCTATTATAAGACAACAAGTTCCCTTTGGTACGATTTTTATAAATATCCAGTAACCTTAGTACGTGAAAATTTTGAAAAAGTTCATCCATACGTGTAAAAAAAAAGTTTTAAACTTAACTTTTGAAAATTTTCCAGAATGTCTGACCTTTTTTAATCAATAATTAATTAAAGCTCTTGAAGTGTACTAAAATATTAAAAATAACCATCCCAAAATTGTACTGCTATGATAAATATAATAAGTAGCAGTACTGCCAAAGTAAAAAAAATTGTAATTAAAAAAAAAAAACTTTTAATACGTAGTCCAAAGTATAGGTCGCATTTGTTATATATATATATACAAATTAATTAAGTAATTGACCGTTTTAAATATAAACACAATTATACCAATGCACTGATGAGTATCTTTTTTTCAAAATTAAATAAAGAAAACAAACGGAGGAACCAGTAAAGGTGAAAGTTGGAAACTGAACGCATTATCAGTAATACATATTCGGCGGTGGCCTTGTTACGGTGTCAAGGGCGGGGAGACACCCGATGACAACCGATTGTCATATTATTAAGTGGACGGCTGATATCGAGAGAGACGCGTATGAGCGCCAAGCCTAGATTAGTGCCGTGTCAACTCCCCCCACCAAGCCGTTTGTCTATCTTTTGACCCAGTCAATTTTTGTAAACAAATTGTCGCAAACATAAAGCAGTAGTCCTTAGTAATAACAGTTGTCGACTTTCCACCATCTTCCTTGTATGGGTAACTGATCTTGCGCTTAAGACTTACCGTGTACGACCGTAACAGTCAGTATTTTTGGCAAGGGAGAGTGGATCATTCTGTCCGTTGTTTTTTTTTTTTTTAAAGTTAAGTTGAAAAATTTGTCATTTTGAATCCCCCCTGTGGGCATGTAAAGGGTCAGATTTATAAAAAAAAATATACCAAATGATAAGTAAAGACATTATACATCAATAAAAAAGCATTATATTGATTTGGTTATTTTTAAAAAAGTTATGGCAGTTTTAAGTAAAAAAATTGAAAAAATGTCAAAAATTAGCAATTTTTAAATTTGTATTTTTTTTTTTTTTGGAGATTTTCCCCATTTACGGGGAAAGAAGGAAATTTTTTAATTTTTAAGGGTAATGTCGACTAGATACGATTTGTGATCTTTTGACGTATTGTTGAAAAAATCGGTTTGGTGAAAGCTGAGAAAAAATGGTAACAGACACAAAAAAAAAAAACACATCATAGTAAAATTAATACCTTTTCTTAGCTTGACATTGATGCTAAAAAAAATTAAGTTAAACATGGACAAAAATACTAGTATACCAAAAGCCATGTATAGAAAAAAATATATATATTCATTTAAAATCAAATAATATAACAAACATTACCGACAGTATTGGAAGACATCCGTTGATGTTAATGGAAAATTAATGAAAAACACCAGAGTGGTCTGGACATTCGCTCCTTTGTGTTGGCTAGAAGAAAGAGATAATACGTACTCTCCATACATAATGAAATAAAATACAGCTTATTACATAAATATAATTATAAAAAAGAAAACAATACCTGGTCTTCGAAAAGACCAATACGATGGTCTGGATGCTTCGCCGTTGACGGCTCTACTCCATTAATGGGGTCAATGACAGAAGCAAGATGAAGAGCCAACACCGATCTAACGGCAATTTTAAAACGATAACGGTTAGTCTTTTTGAGAGAGATCAATACCGATAAACAATTCGATTTTAATTATATTAATTTTTCTTTTGTTGCCTTATTTAGCGGTCAGCGGCAAAAATAATGAGTTGTTGACACTGCTGTGCCAGAAAAAGGTTCATTTGCGCATTATCTTGCAAAAAAATAAACAAGTACACATAACAAAAAATTATAAGTGGTCCTTCGAATTTGTGACGTTACAAGGTGTTACGTCGCTATTTAGGGGTTTAGCCTAAATGCCCGTCGACAGTATTCTAAGGGACCAACGGGGGATAGCTGGCTAGGCTATATCTACCTTAGGTACTGAAGTTTCCTATTTAATTTATATTCCCTTAGAGGAACTACCAAGGGTCGCACTACAATATATATATATATAACACTTTAGGTTAACAACGATATAAATAAATATTTATTAAACAATTGAAATATTAAATAGATAATACAACCTGCTGGACACCTAGAGATGATATAATCCAACAGGGAGCTGACGGCGACACACACACACACTATAATATACGGGGTAGCAAGTTAAGTTAATTATTAGACAAGTAGTGATCGCGAAGATGGTAAAAGGTCAACTGTCGATAGGGATATCTTATTATGGCACATTGGCCGTGAATTGCAAAAAGTGTTTATGTGTGCAGTCCGCCCTCCTGTTAGTATTGTTGTATGTCACTGTGTTAATTATATATATATGTCTATTAAACGGTACAACGATGTTATGGGAGACAGAGATATGGGCACATGCAAATGTGATCATATCAAAGGTAAGTAATTAAGAGTAAGTAGGAGTGAAATAGAGTATAGAGTACGAGTTTGACAAAGGAGAATACGACGTAGGTAAAATGAACAGATGTGACAATAAACGAGATCGTGATAGAAGAGGTAGAAATTTTTAAGTACTTAGGATCAGTTGTGCAAAAGAACGGTGGTATTGATCAGTATGTAAGACACAGGATTAAGTGCGGGCGAGTGAAGTTAAGAGAAGCGTCTGATGTGTTAGGCGATAAAAGAATTTCAATGAGGCTGAAAAGTAAGTTCTATAAAACTTTAGTGAGACCGGCTATGATGTATGGTTTAGAATGCTGAACAGTTGACAAGAGAATGGTTCAGAGAATAAGTGTAACAGTGATGAGAATGCTTAGATGAATGAGTGGATTGACTAGAGTAGATAGAATAAGGAACGAACATATAAGAGGGAGTATAGGAGTAGTATCAATCGTGGATAAGATGAAAGGAAATAGGATTACATGGTTTAGTGACGTTATGAGAAGAAAGTAGTCGGAAGCTGTATGAACAGTTATGAAGACGAATGTTGAAGGAAGAACAGGTCGAGGAAGACCAAAAAAGAGATGGAGGAATGCTATTGAATGCGATTTGAGGACAGTTGATGTGAGCGTAAATGATGTGGGAGATCGTGTCAAGTGGAAGTTAATGTTTAATTCTAATATAAATATTGTGAACTGTTTGTTTATTTAATCATAACAATAAGTTTTATATTAATAAAAGGGAAGTATATCTACATAAATAATAATTTATTATATTATTATACTACTAAGATAAAAAGTACGTAATTTAATTTTTTTTTTTTTATTGCTTTATCATCCCATTAAGGGCCATAGCGGCTTTCTCCAAAAGAGAATACTCCTTGACGGGTGGTTAGTCTATCGCTGAAAATTTAATTTTTAAGAGTGTAATACTAATTTAAGTTCACAATAATTGAATAAAATCGAAATATAACATACAGTGTTTTTGTTTTATTCATTACATTAAATTAAAATATATTAACTATAAAAACCCTTGAAAAAACTAATGATGTCATTGAATATTCACGACAAAATCATTTTGATTACTAAACTTTAATCAATGGTTCTTATCAAAACGACAATTTCGGTTATGCCGTGTTTATTGGTTTAGGAGTTCGAATATAGTTGATATTCGTGCGTAATTGTTCACTGTTCCCTCAAATATTTAATACTTACATTTAATTCATCATGAAAGTCATATTGTTACTTTTTAATTTATATTAGAGAGAATATGAAGAAAAGTTGTTCATTGAAAAAAACATATTCAATTACCAATATTACTTTTTATTATTCCTCCAATGCATGGCAACACTTCATCAGAAACACCACCACAAATCGAACATAAAAATCCCTACCTATGTTGTTGCACGTTATATATTTACAATGCTTATCATAATCTACAATATTTTATCTAAATGTACTATTACATGAGATTACTTCGAGTGTTAACACCATGGACATATATTAATATTAAAAATATATAAAAAGATGATTGAACCAACGTGGTCTTTCATACACTCTGGTATATCTAGTGTATAGAAGACCTCAACGGTAAAAATATGATAAGTGTTGAAATAACCATTTTATCAGTAAACACATTTTTCATCAGTATAGATACTGAATATACTGTTTTACAGCTGTCAATACCAAAAACTTAACACTCATTGAAACTAACATAATATTATTGTTACTACAAATAATATTAAATATATATATAGATGTAACACTGGGTTTATCTTGTTAGGGGCTAGTTTTATACTTGAGGATCTTGGTCAAAACCAAGAATCGAAAGCTACCCAACGTCTACTCAAATATTGTCCCTATCTCGGTAAATAAGTTTTAATTATCTGAAGGAGACACAGGCAATCGTGTACCTTAGTTACAGGGGATATATTATAAATTAATGTTAAACTATTGTTTTATGTCAACGACAAAGTAAAGTTATATTTTAGATGTCCAGTAAATATTAGTTATATGTAATGTATAATACATCTGAACTGAATCCTAGTACAGGTGGTTAGTAAGTATATCCAAGTGAGACGGATTTGGTTGGCTATGATGACAATTGGCGATAGACGGGTCGTTGAATAAAACAAGTTTTAGATGTAAACGTGGTGTGGCGCGGTGGTCACACTAGTTGTTGACAAAACTTTAGCGTTAAGCCGCGCCTACCGCCGTAAATGGATGACCATGCGTGCGCTTCTATGATGGCGAAAAAGCACCATGTTCCCAGTGCAGAAGGCAACGGGTAACCACTGTACTTAATTTCACAGGATATAAGCTATGACAAGACTCAGCCTTTAGAAAAAAGAAGAAGAAGTTATAAATAATATAAATAAGACAAAAGTAATAGTATGGAAAACTATGTGTATAACGGCCACTCAAACACAACTGCCCTTTGTTAGTTCGACATTAGTAGCTCCAGGCTACAGACGAGTAGAATTATCACACAAGCCTCTCCCTCTATGCTAATTAATATGTATTACGAATTAAGTAAATGGAAATAAAACGTGTATAATATAAGTGGTAAGAACATAGTAATAAATGTTATTACAATCTAGTAATATTTTACTTTTTAATAATAAGTATTTTGTAGTAAATAATTAAATATTATTATGCAGCACCACCGAACTTATTTTATTATTTTTAGTAATTCGCTAAAAAGAAAATATTACTAATATAAGTAGTGCACAGTCTTTTACAGAACTTAAGTGAATTTATGAGAGTTACCAATAATGTAAAAAAAAACATAATATAAACATTCTATTATAAGCCTAAAGATGAAAAAAACATTTATCGTTTACAACTTAACCAATTAGACTAATTTGCTTATAATACTTTAAATGATAAAAATGTAACTAAAACATTATAAATATTTTCTAAACGTTTTAATGATAATTTGATTAATGTGTTTTCAAAGACTGAAGTAAATATTGATTAAACAAACTATTGCTAGGGAGTTGTGTAAGGTTAATTCGATTAAATAATTTAGCCAAAATTATTTTTGTTGGCCTTTATATTTATTTATATTTAATTTATTCATTAACTATCAGTAAATTAAAATAATTAAGTTAAAAAACGATTAATAAAATGCAAAATATTCATTTAAGGACCAAAAAAATGATCAACACAAAAAGAAATTGTGCTGAAATTATCCATACCATGTTTTATATTAAGTTTGAAGATAACAATTTTATCAAGTAAGCTTTGTTACATAGTATAATTTAAATATTATTGTATAGTAATTTTTATTATTTTAATTTCTATAATGGACACATTTATTATAGAAAATTTCCAGATTGGGAAATATTGCCCATGACAATAGAAAATGAGTTAATTTATGCAATTCGTGAACGTGATGCTATTAAAAAACAATTAAAAAATAAACGAAAAGATAAATATATATTTGATAAAAAAATGAAACATCAATGGAAGGACTTAAAACTTAAAAAAAAGAGGCTAAAAGAGGATGAAATAAACTATAATCAACTTTCATTAGTAAGAAAACTAAAAATACGTCACAAATCGTGTAAACTATAATATATACATAAGTATAGTTACTCAATTATTTTAGTTAAGTAAAAAAAAAAGTATAGTTCAAAGTATATTGAACTATTAAATAAAACCAATAATTATTTTAATAATAAAGTCAAAACTTAACTGTAAAAATACAATTGTTTATAATATAGGAGATAAAAGACAAATGTAATGTATTAATATCTAAAACAAGAGAAGACATCGAAGAAAAAAATTGTTTAGAAATACAAATCGATCCAATGCTACAATCAATTATACAAATTGAAGAAAATTCTAAAAAAATGCAACGAAACGTTGATCAACTTAAGCCATTTGAAGTAATGTTATTAAAAAATAATAATCAACTTCATTGAAATCAATAAAACAAATAAATATTATTTCACTAGGATTTTTTGATGAAAGTTATAGAAGAACCGAAAAATTGCAAAACCATTGAAGATATGATAAAAAAATATGAAAATTTAACTAAAATGAAAAAAGAATTAACGCAAAAATACGAATTGAAATCATTAGAGATGTATGGAGTAAAAACCGATTTGTATAAACAATCAAAAGTAAACTATAATATAATAATAGGATAATGATAAATATTAAATGATACTCGAACATTGTTAATATTCAATCGTAAATTATAACTTATTATACAAACAATTGTTTTTAAATATATTTTTCATACGAAATCGTTTTGAAGGAGGTAGGGGCAATAACATTATATCTTCGTCAATAAACGTTTGATCATTTTAAACGAAAAATATTTTTAATTAATATACTATAAAACACGTATTATACCAATAATTATTTTTAAATGAAAGACATAGATTTTTGAAAAATCTGGTGTCTATATTTATATTTCTAATCCTACTTTGTCTATAGTATAAAACTACAATTTTATACAATTGTACTAGAGTGTTTAATATCTATTTTACATTTCACTCCGAAATTATAATGAAAATCACTTTTTACCTTATTTAATAAATTTTTCATAAAGGAAAAAAGCAAAGAAACTGAAAATATATCAGATGAACTAGCAGACGTTACAGATTGTTGGGTAAAAACAAAAGAAAATATAGTAAAAGTAGACATAGCATTTCGACACCTTGAGAATATGGCAAAAGAAAAAAACATAGAATACGACCTGGTAAAAAAAGTCTATTAAAAGTTTTCTACGAATTATTAACTAAAAATTATTAATTTTAATATAACTGTTAAATATTTAAAAATATATTTATTTTATAATAATTATTAAATATTAATAGATAACATCTTCCATATGGAATATCTACGAACAAACATGCAAACGCGTGAAATATCCAGTATCTAATAAAAAAATTGATATCGAGACTCAATTGAATTTTATTGCAAATGAATATCAAGAGCTAACTAAAGTACTACAAATGGCAAAGAAGATAAAAGAAAAAATTATTAATAAACCGTAAATGAAGTGATAATAATGTCATTCTAGTCATAGGCCTAAATAGTGTTTTCAATTTTGGGATGTGTAAGTTCCAAAAACTAAAAATTTATATTCTTGCTCCACTCCAAATGGTATATCTAAGCTTCTTATTATTTATTTATTCATAAACAATTATGTTAAAAATTATATACAGCATGGTCCACAATGTTCTGACAAATCTAATAACTTTTGATATATCAAATATTTTGCATAATTTATTTTTAAGTTTTTTGGACTATGTAAAAAGCAAATGTTTTATTATTTGTTATTAATAAGAAAATTAAAATTTTTTCTGTTTAATTTTTTTTGAAATGTTAAAATAGTCTTTATTTTAGTTATTTTCTCACAAAAAAATTTAATGGATCGATAACAAATTTTGAATAAGTACAATCATCTAAATACGTTTAGTGGGTAGATACAGATTGTACAGATAGTCGCGTACTACCTTCCCAGGGAGCACCCTACTTAGGACTAACATAGTCCAAGAACTGTAAATAAAACTAATGCAAACCATTTGATGTATCAAAATTTATAAGGTTTGTCAAAACACCGTACATTATCTGTATGTACATATATTTTTTTCCTTGACACTGTAGTATTTCAACTATAATTGCTAAAACTAAAACATATTATTATTTTTAAAAAATATTTTTATCTTTCCTTAATTTTTTTTTTTTAATAGTAAAATCTGTTTGGAAGTTTTGATTTTATCCCAAGTGGTGTTAAGTAACCAAAACACCCCTATATTTTCGCCTATAATTTTAGTAGACGTATGTATGTATTTTTATTAAAAGAATTCAAATAAAATTCAGCTATACACAAATATGAAATACATTAAAGAAATAATTCAATTTTTAGTTTCCATAATAACGTCATAACATGTATGTCCATAACAACACATTTTAAAAAATTTTCAATGAGTGGTACTAATAGAGCGATATTTTCAAGGTGTTTGAATTTGACTTGCTCAGAACCCTTCGAAAGTTACACATACAATGAGGAAATATTCGTCAACTTATGTTTCAGCAAGCAGACCATAATTGCCGTCTCGTCTTTCATTGCCTTAGCCAAGAACTATCTTTGACTGCCTAACATGTGAAAGAGGTCTAAAACCCTCTGTAGCATGTTGAATTCGGGAAATAGAAGAATGTAAAACTGATCATTATTTCTTTATATAAAGTAACTTAACAAAATCAAATTTCCTCATCATTGAAATTATTTTGGGAGGAATTGAGTGGGTTATAAAATAGATTATTTGTATTAACATAGAAATAATAGTTATAACACACAAAATATATACTATGAACGTATTTGTTTGCATATAAATAATAATACATAAATATGTATGTGTTTAGCGTTCATAATGGTAAAATTGTTTCCGAAATACGTATTCGCGACTTTTCAGTAATTTTTTGTGGTTTTTGAGTTTAATATTTTTTAGTTTTTAAATTAATAATATTTTTAATATAGTTTTAATTTTATTTAATAATACATAAAAGTTGTAATAAATAGTGATAAATAATAATGTCTACTTTTGTTCGAATTATTATTTGTATTGTTTTAAAACATTAGTTGCGATAATAATCCTTTGAATTTTAGACGTCCCTTCGTATATTTCTGTTATTCTCACATCCTTTTAAAATCGTTTCGCTGGCATATCTGACACATAACCCAACCAGTCAATATGTGAATGCTTTGATGGGCATTAAACGTTGCCAGCTCAGAAATCGCTAGTTTTTCCATGACAGCATACATTTTAATTCATATTAATGCATTTAAAAAAAATATGCTTTTAAACTAATATGTATAGTATAAATGATAGCAGGTACTATTTAAGCTTTTTTTAAAAAAAAACATTGGTTTAAAAAGAAAATAAATTTGACAAAAAATATGTATAATAATTTGATTTTTACTATAGAAAAAATTAACATAACATTAAAAAAAAAATTTATTCAATGAAATATTTAAACTATAGTATGCATTTTAGGAACGGCTGAAAATAGAATTTTAACAAAGTATCAGCATTATAGTAGCTGATAGTATATTGATTGATTCTCTTAGTTTTTGTTATCGTCGAATTTGGTGGTATAAGTGATATTGTTTATCAATTTTATTCTCTAACAATCGTGTTTGTTTTTATTATAAACTAAAGCTTAATATTCAAACATTTGAAAAAATTTTAGTTTCAGAATTATTTTAAGTTTAAGAAAATATTTGAATACTAGGCGTGTAGGTCGAACACAGAAATTGGCAAATTGGCGCGATTTTTTACTACTACACATCGTTCTATTTTAACCCATATCTATAATGTAATTTTGAAAATATTCGAGGAGGGGGTCCAAACCCGATGGTCCTTTCTCTCGATATATGTCTGATTAGTAATTTTATGAGAACTTTGAGTAATATGCTTAGCTATGATTCGAAATAACAATTAATATAACATTCTTTCGTATGTAGTTTCTTCATGACTTTCAGAGATGCGGCTCTTCAAATCAAAAGCATTGTACTTTCTAATTTTAAATCCAGGTCAGCCATTTTATTCTAGAAAATTTAAACGAACATATTTTTATATGATCTAATAATTTGTAATAAGGCTATGGAATTTATAAATAAAATACATTAATTCCTGAATTTTTTACCTTTTTGACATCGAATTCCATGGATAACTATTAAAAATTAACATTGATATAACACATAAATATTATATGATAGTAATAATTAGTATATAATTATAATATTTATAAATAGAAACTGAAAAAATTAGAAGATTTGAAAAATGAAACTAGTATAATATATTTATATTATCTCTATAATGAGTTGTCTTACAAAAGAGTCGAAAACGCAACTATTAACCATTTTTTTAAGATAGTGTACTCCATTGGGCTCAAAGTTTAAAAATAATTTAATATTTTAATTCACAATTAATTTTTTTTTAATTGTGTAAAATTAAATTTATGTCATATAAGATAATATATCATTTTGTTAATTCAATTAATTACATTCATAAGCCTTACGAGATTAGATATCTTTTGAGTACTATAATATTAGAATTATCTATAATCAATATTTAGCAATCAAACGAAATCTTGTATACTTAGTTTATATAACATTTCGGTTCAAAAATCATAACAGTAGTTTTTTTTTAATATTGAAAAAATAGTTATATTTTCATGCATATCGACTTTTTATCAAATTTACTCACTTATTTTTTTACGTAGGATATCGAAAGAAGTCGGAACAGAAATATACAACTGAGTCTTTGGTAAAAGTCACTAATAAATTATCAAAACACTATTATTTTCAGATATAGCAAACGAGACACTTAAAAATAATCAAAAGTCCATATCCACATAGCGCTAATATTTTTTACTTAAATTATCCTAATGATTTAAAAAAATGTCAACTTCTAATGATGACCTTTTTCAAAACTGTAAGCGTTTTGATTATTTAAATAAATATATTTCAATTTGATTTATAATATTATGAAAAACTAATAAATAAATTTTAATTGTTGTTATTGACGACTTTAATGATTGATGATGTTCACGACATGTTTTATGCGTGCATCGTAAAAAGACATACTCACGAAAGAGGATTTAATGTCATTTTATTTTAACACCATTTAAAAATATTATTAACGTTATATTTATGCATTCCTTGAGAATTAAAAATAAAATATTAATGGATGAATAAATTATTACTGAACTTGATTTTCTTGTTAAATACAAATTTTGACATCAACATAGTTGAAATATAAGAAAACAAATAATATAGAACTAGTCTTATTAAACATTTAAATCTTCCTCTAATTAACACATAATTTACACTAAGCTACTTATAGGTAACTTTTGAAATTAAACAGATATAGATATTAGTTTAACTACCAGTAGATATACTGAGTTTAAATAAGCTTCTACTGTAAATGTTTGCTAATTGTAAATTAATATGGTTTTTAGTTAGTGCTAACCAAATATAAGTATTTGTCAAGGTGAATTCATTGATCTATATTAACATTTGACTTTATTAGACAAGAGTTATGTGTTCAAATTGAATTTTTAATATACAGATACAGTATTTCATATACAAAAATTAAACAAATTAATTCAATTGTACGCAATACAATGCCTTTTTTTTCTCGAATGTTGACACTTTAACAAAGTTAATTTTTAGTAAATACAAGAACCTAACTTTTTAAGAATTATTACATGATTATATAAATTTTAAGCCTTTTGCTAATAGTAGATATGAAGTTTCATTTCGAACAATTCAACTAGAAAAAGTTTTTTATCTAATTTTTTCTTTCCTTAAATATTTATACGGAAATGAATAAAATATTATTATGTTACTTAGTTATAGCTTAAATAGTTCTAATGCAATAAGTTTTTAATGTAAAGAATGAAAATATTGTTCCAATATTAAGTCATGTACTTATTTTGTTGATCAATTCACAATAATTGCTAAAATGAAATACGCAATAAACAAATAACAGTAATGGATTTAAGTTCTTAATTTTAATTATTTTATTTTAGCATCAAAACTTGATGTGTTGATGATGTTTAACAGCTTTGTGGACTTATGTAGAACATTGGTATTCCCTATTGATTGTGACGCGACTGGATCTAGAACAATCTATTAATGTGTAAATTAACCAAATGTAATAAGTAATAATTTTCACTTAATATTTAATAATAATATTAGTAATATTTTGATTGAGGATACTGAATCGTGAGCATAGTAAGGTCATTGTTGTTTTATATACTGGCGTCATAATAACCGTAAACAAAACGAGACGTCACTTAAAAGAAAGATTCATTCTTTATTAGGAAAAATAATGAAAAATCTTATGAAACAGAAAACAAATTTAACAGTAGCTTAAATCGCGAATAATTAATTGTATAAATTAACTTTTTAACAACCTAATAACTTCAAAAATAATATATAACAATTGTATCTGTAGAAATTCCAATTTTGTGAAAACATGTTTTTATCCTTAAGTAATGCTATACACAAATCTTTATTTTTATAAAAACCACATATTTTTAATGTTTCAAATTACCATAATTACAATAACATGGTCATTGGTTTAGTTATCAACCCAAACTGATGACACAGTACTATGTTTACTTTTTTATGGAGTATTATTAAGGATTATTTTTTTCATTAAGCTTATCATCAATACAGACCGTACTTTTCTTTTAACTTAAATATACACCACAAAATGATCAGTTTTTAACTAAATTGCATCAACATTAGAAAATTATATTTTTCTTTGGCTTCTCATTAACTAACTTATTTCTAAAAATAATTTCAGTATATATTTAATGACCATTGGTGGTTAACCTTCAAAAGAAAATATTTATATTCCCATAATTTAATCACTTTATAGATTACATTGAAAAATATTACTTTTGTTTGTATAATAATTGGAATAATAATATGCAGAGAATTGATCAGGTATACAAAACTATTCTTAGTGTAAAATATCTGTTGAGAACCGTGTTCCCATAAGACCAGTTTTAGGTATTTTTGTAATGATTAATTTATTAATCCCAGTTGAAGCCAAATAACATTCACTAGCTTTCACGGTTTACTAGTATCTCATCATTTGAAAGTTTCGTATATGTTCTGATTTTTATAAAAACAAATTTTTTGCATTAGTGGTGACAATAATTTTACTTTTTACTTGCTGATTCATCCTTGTTTTCTTTCTAATGTAATCGTCGAAATTCTGTAAATACGACCAGGGGACACAGACACAACTTTCACGTTTTTTTCACGAATATCTATGTTAGTATACGAATATATGTTAGTAAATCTTGAGATTAAAACACCAAATACATTAGTCGAAGAAAATTCAAATTATAATTTCCTATTAAATTTTTATTAAAGGACTTGGCTTTACTTCATCATTATTAATCATGCAATAACAAATAATCGGAAATATATAACTTAATAAAAATATTTTATTTCTCTAAGAATAGACGTTGCAAAAAATAATCTTCCAAAAGAAATAGAAATTAATTACTAAGAGATAATTAGTGAAGACCACTAGTGGTAGTTTTTTTGCGCAATAGGATAAAACAAAATTTTAAAAATTTATGTAAACATTAATTATTTATGCACACAATTTTTTTATTATTTCCTTATAATAAATTCTTGAGATCATAACGACGATGAATTCTAAGATGACGTCTTCAGTCTTTTTCTCCCTCTTTATAAAATACTTTAATGAGCGCGTCCAGTCAGTTTGATAAGTTTAATGTGAATTGCTGCGTACATTGTATATGTATATGTATAATTTTTTACATACACGATATTTTAATTCTAGGTTATGGCAAGCAGCGCGCGTACGGTCGAAGTTATAAAAAGACGAGCTATTCGCTTCTGGTTGTCAGTACCGAGTTCAATGTCATTAACAGAGCGGCTTCAATAATTTTACTTTGTTTTACTGTTTTTACTTGACATTCTAAAAGTAGAATTGTTTGTTTACAATTTCCATTTGCACGTTTTCGATCATTCTTTCTTATTTTGCAAACAATTGTTATCAATTTTAAATCGCTTTAAAATTTTATTTTTTTTATCAAATATGTATTTGAATCCGTGGATTAGAAAGCACTCTACTATAAGACAGGTGATCAACAAGTTATTGTCGATCAATACGAACAATACGAAGAAATTTGACACAGTTTTCAAAAAAAACAAATCAGTGATTTCGATGTCAGGGATGACAAAACGAAGTCATTGAAAGGCACTATGATTGCAGTCTTCTTTCAATTCAGGCTGCGTGAAAAAAATTCAAGTTCCTACTTAGGCACTAGTTGAAAAAACAATGAATATATGACATAATAAAACTGCGGCCAATATGAGTACTTTGAAACAGAAATGTGTCAAACAAAATATAACAGAACGAAACTCAATGTGTGGATAATGTAAGAATAATTTTTATTTATTTATTTAGCTGATAAAGAACAATTAACCTTTAATCTTTAGTCCTTTTAGACGACTGATATCAGCTTCCTAACTTGTGTAATATTTCGTATTTCTTTCCATTTAATACTGTATCCTAGGTAACATAACGAAGTTTATACAAAAGTTATCATTTTGAGTTACATAATTTTACTTATAAAATTAGAAATTACTTATATGTATTGTAATTTGCATACATGTAATGTTATCAGTTCATTATTTATGTAGAGACTAACGATTTAGAAAAATGTTTTCAGTAACAAATTTTTAATATTTTTATCAAGTATTAAATTGATAACAATAAATAAATAATAATGATGCAATTTTTATACAACTAACTTGACAGATTACGAAAACTGTTCACACACGCACTAATTTCAAAAATAAAATCAATAATTTTTATTATTAAAGTATATATATTTCTAGTTATAATTTCAATATGTAGGTATATAAGTTTCTAAGGTCATTGATACAAAACTGCCACATCTTTAAACTTAATGAGAAAAGAGACGGATGTTTAATAATTATGCAATGATTCATTTTATATTAGTTTTGTTACAATAGCTAGATAATCCTAATTGAATTATTTATAGTCAATGACATAATAATCGTTTTTTATTCTTTATCAATATTTTTCTTGTGTAGTTTTGACTAATATATGTCATCCTGTAATTCTTAATGTTTATATTTGTTCTCACGAATAAAATAACGTGTTTTGATAATATAAAGTCGTATATAAAAATAGTTAAATCGTAGAATTGTCACTTTTTAATTATTTGAAATCGACTTATAAAATTTGTGTAGTTTGCAAACTTGTTAGTTGTATTTATTTAATTACTTACAATAATCCATAGATCCGATTCTCAAAACAATAACCAAATGCAAGATGATATAAATAACATTTAGGCTTTGTGTATTTTGTTTGGTCTTTAGCTTAACCATTAAATATTATTGGGTTTTTAAAACAAGAATATTTTACATAGCGCGCAAACGACTGGCTATTTAATTTGTTATTATGCATTGTATATTAAACAAATTAGATTAGTTTGTTGTAATATTATGTTTGATATCATATTGTAACTTTTTATTATGCATGACCTTTTTCTTTAAAATATAATTTAAATTTATTAACTTTTTAGTGTTTGTTTTGAAAAAATTCTATTGGTTTACAAAAGCTATAAATTCGAGAAAAACGAACTTTAGAATGTGTAAATTGTTAACATATTATCTGTGTAAGAACTAAGAAAAACATTTCAGATGTAAATACAACTAAAGAAAATGATCTCATTTAGAAATATATTAAAAGTAAGCATCACTATTAATAATTCGCTTAATTTGAATAGATTTAAATTGTTTGTTTTTATCTATTATAATTAAACATTGTAATAGAAAATATTTTTTTTCAAAATATTCTATTCATTGCACTTAATCAAAATCATTTAATAATAAGTTGTTTTACATAAAAAACTAGTATAAAGTTTTTTACTAAACATTTAATTATTGTTTTAGATTTTCTTTGCCTATTGAGAACACTGCACTCATGTCTTAATTCAATATTTTTTAACATATTCTGCAATAAGTATTATATTAAAATTGTATTTGTTTTTATTTAATGTTATTAATTTACTTATATCATAATTATTTATTAGTGCAATACTTATACAATAAAAAATATATTTATGCCAATCGTTTTAATTCCTTCTATATTGTATTTATACAATATTGTACTTTATTACTTAATTTTTAAGTTAAATTTTCAGTGTCACAAAATTTTGTATATACTAATATAAAAACTTTTTAATGAATATAATAAACTGATTTTGAGGTTTTAGTATAAGTAATAATTAATTTTATTCAGTGTCGGCGCTTGATATTGTGGCACTTGATGCAAAAACATTTTTGTGGAATCTTTTTATATGTTTGTGAGACCTCTTTTAATTTACACAAGACGCATTATAAAAGTACAATATAGGTAAAAGGTTTATAAGTTTATAAGTTTATTGTAGGTATATGACCCCACACGTGTTTAGAATAGTTAAATGATATACTATTATAACCAATATTGATTTCTGTAAATATTTTTCCGGTATTTAAGTCATAATGACATTTGAAATTTAATGAACTATTTCAACATACCTAAAAAAAATATGTTTAAGATCTAACTATTTATGTTATATATTACACAACGCACAAAATAAAGATACAAATAATTTTTCTTTGGCAACAAATAAACGTAAAACTAAAATTAAGCTATCTATTGAGCAATGGAAGTTTAAAATAAAAGGGAATGTAAAATATTGTTTATAATTGTTCAACAAAATGTATTTATAATTTTTTTTTTTTTGAGTCTGTCGCTACTTTTTCTCAGCTCTGACTGGACCGCTCTAAAATTGAAAATTTTGCCCTTATTCACCGTAAATAGTAAAACTCCCCCAAAAAATTACGATTTTTAAAATTGGTAAATTTTGACATTTTTTTAATAAAAAACTTATTGAAAAATAAACAATTCATAATAATTCTTTTTAGCTTCGATGCGAAGCTGAAAAGGTATTGGTTTTACTAAGATGTGTTTTTTTTTTGTCTGTTACCACTTTTTCTCAGCTCTCACCGAACCGATTTCTTTCAATGATACGTCAAAAGATCACAAATCGTATCTAGTCAAAGACATTACCCTCAAAAATTGAAAAAAATTTCCTCGTTCCCCGTAAATGGAGGAAACCTCCAAAAAAATTACAAATTTAAAAATCGCTAATTTTCGAAATTTTTTCAATTTTTTTTACTTAAAATTGCTATAACTTTTTTAAAAATAACCGAATCAATATATTTTTTTTATTTAGATGCATGGTATCATTACCTTTCATTTGGTATATTTTTTTTTTATATGTGACCCTTTACTTGCTCACAGGGGGGGATTTAAAATGACAACTTTTTCAAAAAAAATTAATTTTTTCAACTTGATTTTTGAAAATGTTCCGGAAGGTCTGACACTTATATATATATCTTAAATTAAAGCTTATGTAATATACTTTATCATGAAAAAAAAAAATTTCGGATTTTATTTTATGTTCATGGTGAAAATGGCTATCGAATCCTATTATTGTGTGAAAATTCTCGATTTTATTTTTCACATTTTTAACTTTATAATGCTATAACATATTGAAAAGTGTATGGATCAACATAATTTTTTTATGAGAAATAATATTTTTTAATAATCCCTTTTTCATTCGACATACTTTATCTTAATTAGGATATTAATAATGAACTAGCAGATCATGTAGCTTTTGGAATAATCCACCAATTTTTTAAAATTAAACACTATCTAAAGATTTGCATCGAAGCGTTTTTTTTTTATAGTGATTTTAATCACTGTCAGATATCATCATACTTGATCCAACTATGCTACGTCACCACTGTGCCGCGACCCCCCTGTGCTGGGTTTTTATATTGAAACCATAATTTTTTTTCTTCTATTTGATATACATTTTTTGAAAATCTGACCCTTTACCCGTCCACAGAGGGTGAATTAAAAATAGCAACTTCTGCACAAAAATTTAACTTTTTCAACTCAAGTTTTGAAAATGTTCCGGAAATGCTCCGAGTTTCAAACATATGTTAAAATAAAGCTAATGTTGTGTACTATGAAATAAAAAAAAATTGATCTCGACACCTTATCTTCTACCCGCAAATGGTTGCCGTAATTAAAAAACATGCAATTTGGGTGTTATATTTATGATTTCATATTTTATTTTTTCAACTTTAAATTACTAGAACTTTTCGACAAATTTATGAATCAGTACATTTCTTTTTCATAAATACATAATGCTTGCTTTTTTCATTTGATATACATTTTTTGAAAATCTAACTCTTGATCTGGCCATTAGGGGTATTCAAAATAACATTTTTTACACAAAAGTAAACATTTTTAACTCAATTTTTGAAAATTTTCCGAAAATATTGACACTTTTATTTAATTTTAAATTAAAGCTTATGTAATATACTATACTATGAAAAATTTGAGATATGGTGAAAATGGTTATCATATTCAAAAATATGCTATTTTCGTGTTAATATTCTTGGGATTGTATTTCAATTTATTTTAATATACCTTAAAAGGGGTACACTAATTTTCTTTTAACTCAAATAAATTAATTTTAACATTTAATTCAGCTTAAATTGCCAATTTTATCAAAAAACGAATGCAACAAACGTTTGCCGTTCCAGTAAAAATTATTGTCTGTGGCAATGACTTTTCTGTAATTTTTCTTTAATTCTTTTTAAGCTAGAAGCTTGCTTTTTAATAATCAACTAATTTCTTAAAATTTAACACCATCTACAGATTTGCATCGAAGCATATAGTATCAAATATAGATATCATCTATACTTGTCTCAACTATGCCACGATCACACTGTACTGCGCTTCATTGTGCTACTTTTATTTTTATATATTAATACTTGTATTTAACTAATTATTAATAATATCAAAAATAAGTAATAATGAAAAAAATCTAATTACAGATTTGAACTCAGCGCGAAAAAAGGGTTTAAAAAAATATATTTTTGACTCTAATGAAAGTTCTTTTTAGACTATTAAAATTCCCTCTTGAAAAATTAAAGTTGACATCCTTATCAAGTGTAAGTTATGAACATAAAAAGTACTTCATGACTATTAAATTCAGGAAAATTGGTAACTAAGAGAAACTAATAAAAAAAACATGGTAAATGAATAATGATTACTCAGCGCAAGAAAAAAAAGATAGTCTAAAAAGTTTTAAACACTCATATTTAGTATTAAAAATTTTTTTTTTTTTGGAAATTTTTCTTAGGTATGTTAAAATTACAAAAACATTGAATACTTATAATTAANGGATACTTATATAATGTTATACTTATAATTATACTTATACTTATAATGTTGGAACATTGAATACTTATAATTAAAATTTGAATATATACATTGAAATGTTGTTATTTAGAATAAATGTAATCTCTCAAAATCCTCAAATTTGAAGATTATTTAAATTGCATGATTTAGTCATAAATAATTTTTTTTATTATAAAGACTTAAAACAATTATTTTAAGATTATTTATTATTATCATATTTAAAATTGTTTAAGTTTTAGTCAATGAGTAGAAAAATTCTACAGTTATTTTACTTCTTTGAAATCACAAATTTTTTTATATAATCCTACGTTTATAATTTGATTTTAACTTTAATGAGGAAGAAATATTGTAAATTTAATATTTTGACCCTTTTATTTCATTAGTATTGAAAATTTGGATACCCGACTTTTATTCGGTAATCAGGTAGTACATGTATTCACTCGGAAAATTATTAGTTTAAAAACATTTTTTATTAGAAATATTAATTAAATTAAATTTTTTTAATTCTATATAACCAATATTTTATTAGTTTACTCTGTAGTATTAATTCACCATGTATAATCTGCTCAAATTTTTAATACAAACCACATATTACATTTAATATAGCGAGGTTCCTTTAAGTATTTATAATAAAATCTTTCTTGTTTAATATTGTGTAATTGTTCATCTATGACACTTATTAGTTCAAGATTTCGAAATAATAATTATTATGTTAATATGAACTCGCAATGTTAGACCATATAAAATTAACATTAAGTAACTGTATATGATAACTTTGTGTAGTTTTTTGTGAATCCACGTGAACATCACGTTTAGTTGTTAATTAAGCAATAATTCAAGATAAATCCACATTAATAATAGTATAAAGAAATAATTGGTAAATACAATATTTTAATAAAACCTACCAACTGTTATTCAATATTATTAACATTAATAATAGTATACAGAAATAAAATTTAATAAGCTGTAATTTATCAAAACCTTATAATAGTTGTGATAAAACTAACATTAAATAATTATACTCTAATTGGTAATATATTTAGATAAAACTTTAAATCTTGCAAAAAAATTACTTTAAACAGATCTTCAATATTTAATAATAAATAAATATTAGTAAAATTAAAAAACTTACATTTTAAGGTTAATTGATTACAATAGAATGGCTTTGGTATTGAACTCCATCGATTATTTGAAGTTTTGACAATATTGCGTACGCGTTGAGTAAAAAAAAATTAATATAGACTAGAATACAATTTTTGACTAAAAATTACTATTTTGGGCTTTATAATTATTATTTATCAAAACCTCTCAAATTTTATTTTATTTTCTCTCAATACGTAACTACATTGTAAATGAATAAAAAACTTAAGTATAATAAAAGAAAAAAGGTTACTTTTAATATAATATACATAACATTTATTAAATGCAATGATTATGACGTTTATTAAACCCTATGAATAAGTTCATTTACTAATCTAACATTAATTATCCCAAGTATAAGTAAAATTTTAAAATAGTAGTATTTTCTATTTTCAATTAACCATATTTTAAACGTGATTTTATATTTATTATGACTGAATTTATTAAATTCTATGATTTGAAACTATGAGATTTTATTTTACAAAAATCATTTTAATGTTTTAATAAAGTTAAGTTCAGTTTATTATTATTTACTTAATTTTATAAGCAATATCCATAAAAATTGACATAAATTTATTTAAAATGCAAAAATAAAAATATAATAACCTACAATGTCCTCTCATGGAAAGTTAAAAAGTTACTATTTTAAATCCCCCCTGTGGAT